CTAGTATCACTCAGCCCTCTGTGAGTAGTAAACAGCCATCAGTGTGCTAATGATCCATTGTTAGGCTGATGGTCCTTCTTGAGCATGTGATCAGCTGGTTTTGGTTGTCAGCAGCAAAACTGGTTGATCCACTCTGAGAAGGTGCTATTTAAGAGACTGAGTTGAATACAGCACCTCAGACTGAAGAAGTCTCTCGGACGAGAGACGAAACGTTTCTACATTTTTTTTGTTGTTTTGTTTTGCTTTGTTTTGTTTTTTTGAATGTCCAGAGGACCAGATTTAACTTTTTTTGCTGTATCATTTAGCGTTTGTTTAGTGTATTTTTTAGATATTTTATTGTATCATTTAGCGTTTGTTTAGTGTATTTTTTAGATATTTTAGCGTATCGTGTAGCGTACATCTTAGATCTTTTAGCATATCGTTTAGCGTTTGTTTAGTGTATTTTTTAGATATTTTATTGTATCATTTAGCGTTTGTTTATTGTATTTTTTAGATATTTTAGCGTATCGTGTAGCGTACATCTTAGATCTTTTAGCATATCGTTTAGCGTTTGTTTAGTGTATATCTTAGATCTTTTAGCACAACGTTTAGCATTTGTTTAGCATATATCTTAGATATTTTAGCGTATCGTTTAGCGTTTGTTTAGTGTATATCTTAGATCTTTTAGCACAACGTTTAGCGTTTGTTCAGCATATATCTTAGATCTTTTAGCATATTGTTTAGCGTTTGTTTAGTGTATATCTTAGATCTTTTAGCACAACGTTTAGCATTTGTTTAGCATATATCTTAGATATTTTATTGTATCGTTTAGCGTTTGTTTAGTGTATATCTTAGATCTTTTAGCACAACGTTTAGCGTTTGTTCAGCGTATATCTTAGATCTTTTAACATACCGTTTAGCGTTTATCTTAGTGTATATCTTAGATCCTTATATACAGTTTCTTTTTATACTTTATATTTTTGCTATTTTTGGGTGTAACTGGGACCTTGAGTACACAATTTCATTCCACCTCATGTATCACATGTGATGTGAATGACAATAAAGAACGTTGAACTTGAACTAAATATTATAATGTTTTCATAAAACAAGACAAAACTAAACAGAAAGAGGGAGACAAAGAACAGTGGCCATGTGCTGTTGTTCTCAGAAGCAGCCAGCAGCTGGGGAGCCAGATCACAAGGTGAATGTATCCGGCTCGTAAAAGCCATTCATATAGCGTCCGCCCTGCATTAACCTCTGCTCTGCGTAATCGCTGCAGGTGGCAGAGGTGCGCATCATCCCCTTCTGTAGTGAGACGGATAAAAACAGCTCTGCGCTCGTCACTGTACACAAGGATGAGATGGAAAATAATGATCCTTCGCCAAAGGTCACCACTTCTGACGTCAATAACAGAAAGCAAAGCCAGCCACTGCTGGATGGATTTCACACTCGCGCTTTTTAAACAGCAAATAAAACAAAATGAAAACGGCTTTTTATTTGGAGTGCAGTCGAGTGACGCTCGAGTTCAAAGTTAGTAGTTCAAAACAGTGCCAAGATTTTGAGATTTTCAAGTTTTATGACTTTCTGTCTGCTGTCAAACACAGAAAATGTAAACATTTATGCAGAACATGCTGTTTAGCTTGTTGTTGTACTGTTGCACATTTAAATCAGTCATGATGCACTGCACTAACGCCTTTATGTTAGGAATGTGAAATGATATTTGAATAATCAAAGAGTTATTGACATAATAGGTAATGCGACTGTTTTGTTGCTTCCACAAGAAGGTAGTGGTGCACCAAGTTGTTTGCTCACCATTGTCCACAATAACAGGGATGCTTTGTTTGGCACAACACCTGCTTGACAAAAAGAGTGATCCCACATCCGTTTTGTTCATTTCTACAGTTTTATTTATGAAGGATAACAAAGAGCAAACTATGGGCACAAATAATCTACATTTGACTGCCAGAACATGTACCCACCTCTCTACGCGGATCTCTCAGACTGACAGAAAACACAAAACAGAACAAACACAAGTTCCTTCAACAAGCAGAATTACCCACACGTCATCATGAAGGCAGGACTCGAGTGGTAAATAAATCATATTCCTCATAAGACTTCATCCCAACCATGGGGATACACTCATTATTTAAAGAAATGTGGTTGTAAAAGATTATTCCTCTGAGACAAAAGTGTTCAAACCTATGAATAAGTGTATATTGTTTCAGTGACATCAGACCAGTTTTATCTGTGGACACTGGGTCCTTCTAACTAAAGTGTATGACTAAACAATGAAAAAATAAAAGTACCCAGAAAAGAGCAGGATCGTTCACTCACTGTGGAGGAATAAATATTTTTAAAATGACGTAATAATGATAATGACTAGAAAGTTCCTGCAGAAATGTTGACGGGGACTGCCAGGGTGTGTCCATTTAAATGTTTTGATTTGACAGTACCGTGTGTTGGGGTTCGCTCTCAGCTACAAACATACCAAATTTCAGCTCAATGTGTCAAAGAATGTCCGAGTTATAGCCGATTTTGTGTTTCTGAGGTAGCTGTGGCAGCCATCTTTAACCAAAATGGCTCCAAACATTAATCAGTTCTAGAGATACATTTGATGATTACTTTCTGTGAGTTAAAAAGAAAATCCAACAAGCTGTTCATGAGATATTTTGCTAACAGACAGACAATCTAAGTTTACATGATATTTCTAAATGTGTGTTTCTGAAGTCAGGTCAGATGTGTGTGTGTGTGTCTCAAAGTAATACAAAGAAACTTCCAAATTCCTTAAAATGAGATCTTCTAATACACGTGCTTCACAAAAACAACACATAAGACATCTGTAAATAAGGATAATAAATGCAGCGCACGGCTTTAAAGCACACGCGATATTTACATTAACTATGATTTCATAAGACCAAAGTGTTGTTTCATGTTACATTAAAAAGACTTAATTTAGACAAGGACTCAGACTATGCATCATATGGTATCACAGGGTCCACGTGTGTGGTGCAGCTGGGACTAGACCCTGAGTGGATCCTATTTGGAAGGATCCAGCTCCAACTCTAGCAACATTTGACCATCCCAGGAATAAACGGAGACTATAGCTGTTTCTGCTGGGATCAGCTCGTCCTATGAAGTCTGAGGCTCCCCTGCTGCAACAGACACGTGCTGCTTGTGCAGATGGATCCTTCTGGTCCTTCAGGTGGATAGTGAGCAACATGAGCAGTGAGGCAAGATCATGTTTGATCCTCTGCTGCCACCTATTGGCAAAATGGTGTACGGACAGAAGGACACTGTTGATCCCCTGAGGTCATTTTATTTTATTTTCAAAAATAAAATGAAAGGCAGCAGAAGAAGAAGAAATCTTATGATATCTGCCCCTTTTTGCTCCAGTTTTAACATCATCCTTCAGACCATCCCACAATCCTGTTCCCTGAATTACAGTAGAGCGCTCCTTCAAACTGGTACGAAACCAACGCTTCACAAACATCTCTATCCCCGTGAGATAATAACCACTCTCCCTTTTAACAAAATTTACTTGAATATTAGAAGGCAGTATGTTTTTGTGAGCTTTATACACAAACAGTAAAATATTATAATCAACTAAGTCATAGAATTGTAATATCTTCAGTTGATACAACAATGTATTTGATGGATGTCTATAATCGTTTCTAGTAATAATTCTTACAGCTCTTTTCAGTAAAATAAAAATAGGATTTGTAATTGTTTTACATGCTTTACCCCAGACTTCAATACAGTAAATTAAGTGTGGGATGATTTATTGCATTATACAACATACACAGTGCTTTATCACTGAGTAACTCTCTTACTTTGTACAGTACTGCAATAGATTTAGCTATTTTTATTCTTAAATTATTTAAGTGAGGTTTGCATGTCAGTTCTTCATCAATGATGACACCCAGAAACTTCACCTCACTGACTCTACAAATCTCAACACCATCGACTCTAAATGGAGCATCGACAGTTCTCTTATTGTTACTGAATATGATGGAATTTGTTTTATCCAAATTTAGTGATAATTTGTTAAGTTGAAGCCAATTTTGTATTTTCACAAATTCTGTCTGTACCAACTCCATTCGTTCTATATCTTTACCCGAACAAAGAAATGTATCATCTGCAAATAAAACACATCTAAACAGTCCTGACACATTAACCAGGTCATTTATATATATAATAAATTACTTAGGTCCAAGTACAGAACCTTGAGGCACTCCACATGTGATGTTACAAAGTTCAGATCTTACATCATTTATTTGAACAAACTGTTTTCTTTCTTCTAAATAACTAGATACCCACTGTAATGCTAGCCCTCTAATACCATATTTATTCAGCTTTTCAAGAAGAATACTGTGGCCAATAGTATCAAATGTTGTCTTTAAATCAACATAAATACTAACGCAATACTTTTTTTGATCAACAGTAGTTATTTGTTCTATTAATTCCATGAGAGCCATTGATGTAGAAATCTTAGGTTTAAACCCATATTGACTGTTAATATATTATGTTTTATCAATAAAGTGATTTAATCTAATCACAAATAATTTCTCTAAAATCTTAGAAAACTGTGGCAACAAGAATATTGGTCTGTAATTGTTCAACACACGTTTCTCACCATTTTTAAAAAGAGGAATTACCTGGGCTATTTTCATGTTGTTTGGAAATATTCCTGTTGATAAGGATAAATTACATACATATATGTAAACGGCTCAATAACATAATTCATTATATTCTTTACAAACATCAAATCCATGTCCACCCATCTTTTGATATTTTGTCTGCAAGATTTTTTACAATATTCATTATTTCTTCTTTGTCAGTTTCACCAAGAAAATACTGTTGGAACAACCCGTAACTGTATGATTCACATTTTTATCGACTTTTGGTGTTTTAGTTGCGAGACTTGGGCCAACTTTTACACAATAATGATTAAATCCATTTACAGTTTCATTCAGATCATGGATTTCTTTACCATCCTTTACTGTGGAATTAAAGTATCTTACCATATTTGTCTCTCAGGCCAACCGTGCATCGAAAAACTCCACCGAAGGCAACATCTTCTCCAAAGATGACTGCAGAGGAACAAACAACAGAGTGTGTAAAATGTTGGTTTTAAAGAACGCAGACGAGAAGTGCACGCTGAAAGCAAAGTTTGAAATAAATCTCTGAAACTCACCCTAAAAAACTATCGTCAAGTAATCATAAACATTTCTCAACAGTTAAACAAGTGTCACAGCAAGGTCTGATTTGTAAAACGATAAAGAGAAATGTTGGGTTGTTTTGTCTAAGTTTGAGATGTACACAGTGATCTACAGGTCATGTGACAACAGCTGGATAAACTCGAAAACTCAAAGATATCTCTCTTTCGTTAAGAAAACAAAACTAAAATGATACGACACTAAACTTGATGCCAAACATCAGACAAAAGTTGGGTCCTAGTCATAGGCGCTCTGTTAATGCTTCAGGAACATACTATCTTAGCTCCAAACAAAGCTCCTAGCTTTAATTAAAAGAAAACGTGGCGTGCACTTCTAAATACTGTTAAATATTCCCATTTTGACCTGAAGCAAGAAAACTTGTTTATAACTACGAAAAGGTAATACACGTTTGAATAACATCCACAAAATAAAGTTTGAAACAAACAGGGTTTTCAGCTAGATGGGTGCTAGTGTGCTCTTCATACACAGGTGGCACTGACTAAACCCCTGGTAACCTATTTAACAGCAGTTATTAGTGACCCGTTTGGCTTTCCATACCTCCACCTCCCACTGCTGCTTGTGTTTTCCACTGCTGCTGAAGTTTATGAATTTCCCTTGAGATGAATAAAGTATGTATTTATGTATGTAATGTAAGTGTGTGTGTGTGTGTACTGTTTCCACTGATCATCCTTGAGATGTTTCTACAACTTTAATGGAGTCCACCTGTGGTAACTTCAGTTGATTGGACTTGATTTGGACACACACGTGTCTATAGACCAGGGGTCTGCAACCTGCGGCTCTGGAGCCACATGTGGCTCTTTGGTCCCTCTGCAGCGGCTCTTCCAAGCTTTGACCAAAACTGACATGAAACTGAACATTATTGGTTGTTGTACAAACAACTGAAAGGGCTAGTTTTAGTAGTGTGCCTGTAATTTATTTTGAAAGTATATGAGTATTAGAAACATTACAAGGAGTAAAACATACTCACTTTAACTTTACACTTTATTTCTTCAAAGTAGGATACGCAATTTTTCTACAATTTAAAAAAATCACATAAGAATATTGTTTTAGTTTTTAGAAACTGGGCACAAACTATATTACTTTTTTCTTTCTTTACAAGAATCTTGTCTTTTATTTTGCCTTAGAGTGTAAAAATATCAATAAATGTTAAAAATCATTAGCTATTGTTAGTTTTATAAAATCACCCCAACTGTCCAGAAAAGCGCCCTCCAACAAACTTAAAGTGGTCCGTGGGCCACCACTTGACAATCCCAGGTGTAGCAGGTGTTGTGGCTCCGGACACGTTCAACTGAATGAACAGAGGGGCAGAACTGGCTCTTTTGATCCTAGAGGTTGCAGATCCCTGCTATAGAAGGTCCCACAGCTGACAGTGCATGTCAGAGCACAAACACCAAGCATGAAGTCAAAGGAATTGTCTGCAGACCTCAGAGACAGGACTGGGTTGAGGTACAAATCTGAGAAAGATACAAAAAGAGTTCTGCTACATTGAAGGTCCACATGAGCACAGCAGCCTCCAACATTTGTAAATGGAAGAAGTTTGGAGCCACCAGGACTCTTCTGGCTGGTCGTCTAAACTGAGCGATCAGGGAGAAGAGCCTCAGTCAGGGAGGTGACCAAGAACCTGATGGTCACTCTGTCAGAGATCCAGTGTTCGTCTGTGGAGAGAGGAGAAGCTTCCAGAAGGACGACCATCTCTGCAGCAATCCACCAATCAGGCTGTATGGTAGAGTGGCCAGATGAAACCCACTCCTTAATAAAGGAACATGGCAGCACATCTGGAGTTTGACTAAAGGACCAGAAGGACTCTCAGACCAGGAGAAATAAAATCCTCTGGTCCGATGAGACAAAGATTGAACTCTTTGGTGTGAAAGCCAGGAGACATGTTTGGAGGAAACCAGGCACCACTCATCAGCAGGACAATACCATCCCTACAGTGAAGCATGGTGGTGGCAGCATCATGCTGTGGGGATGTTTTTCAACAGCAGGAACTGACAGACTAGTCAGAGGTAGAGGGAAAGATGAATGTACAATGAACAGAGACATCCTGGATGAAGACCTGCTCCAGAGAGCTCTGGACCTCAGACTGAGGCGGCGGTTCATTTTTCAGCAGATCAAGGACCCAAAGCACACGGTCCAGATCTCAAAGGAGCTGCTGCAGGACCACTCTGTGAAGGTCCTGGAGTGGCTGCAGGACCACTCTGAAGGTCCTGGAGTGGCTGCAGGACCACTCTGTGAAGGTCCTGGAGTGGCTGCAGGACCACTCTGTGAAGGTCCTGGAGGGTCCAGTCAGAGTCCAGACTTGAATCTGATTGAACATCTCTGGAGATGTCTGAAAGTGGCTGCACAGACGTCTCGCATCCAACCTGGTGGAGCTTGAGAAGTACTGTAAAGAAGAATGGGACAAACTGTCTAAAGAGCTGCTCAGCTTGAAGCATCATATTAAAAGACTGGAGGCTGGAACTGCTGCCAAAGGAGGATCAACTAAGTCTTAAGCAAAGGCTGTGAATATTTAATAAATGTGATTTATTAGTTTTCTATTTTTAATAAATTTGAAAAAATCTCAGTCTTTTTTACATTGTCATAACCAGGTATTGTGTGTAGAAACATGAGGAAAGAGATTTAATACAATTTGGGATAAGGATGTAACATAAAACGTGGAAAAAGTGAAGTGCTGTGAATACTTTCTAGATGCAATGAATGAATGAATGAATGAATGAATGAATGCATGAATGCATGAATGCATGAATGAATGAATGCATGAATGAATGCATGAATGCATGAATGAATGAATGCATGAATGAATGAATGCATGAATGAATGAATGCATGAATGAATGAATGAATGAATGCATGAATGAATGCATGAATGAATGAATGCATGAATGAATGAATGAATGCATGCATGCGTGCGTCTTCAGCCTCCCATGTTGTATCAGAACGAGTCACTGCTGCTTTGCTTCTGTAGAGTGCTTGAGATCAAATCTTCCTCTACACCTTTTCTGCCAGCGCAGAGAGAAAAAGCCAAAAGAAAATGTGAACACTATTCCAGGTAATAGTAGTGATCTTCTGTGATGAAGATACTCTTCATTTGATCATATTCCATGAACCGTGATGTCTGAACTGTACTATAAACATTGTACTCTTGTCTTTACTGCAACAATACCCTGGTTATAGTTACTGTTAGGTCCCAAACACGTGAACTTTGTCACGTGCTGTCAAAAACCATTTTAAAGCTTTACCCTTGTGTGAGATCTACTGCAAGTGAGTTTGACACGGTCTGGTTTTCTTTTTTTATTTTATGAAATGGTTTTAAATCTGGTCTGGGATAGAGTCAGTAAAAGAGTGACAGATGGTGTGCTTATTCAGAGATCCAACCCAAAAGCCTGCATATGAACGAGCTTTTGTTTCTCTCAGCTGTTCCTTTCTTCAGGGCTGCCACAGTGAACCAACTCACACAAGAACTTGATCAATGTTTTACTCTGGAGGTCCTTCATGATGCAACCACAGACCACAGAGCTACCACAGTCCTCCGTGTGGAGCAGAGGACTGACATCCAGGGCACCCAGGGGAGCAGGTGGTGGGTTAAAGGCTTTGCTCAAAGGCCCAGAGTGGGGCAAATGAGGGTGGAGGCAGGTGTGGGTGCTTCACCTTTTTCACCCACATTTTGATGTTATCGTCAGCAGGTGGAGTTAAACCGACGACCTTCCAATGACAGAGGGATTATTTTTCAGTGAAAGTCACCTGAGTGCCTAACAGCCACTTTAGAGACACAACAGACCTCACTGAACCTTCATAACCCAGATCTGGAGTAGAGATCAGGAAACAAGATCTTATTCTGGTTTTGAAACGTTCTCTGCTGAGATGCTGAGGAATCAGACAAAATGCAGATTCAAAAATACACCTGCAGATCTTGTGTTTCATGTCACACCCATATACAGAATACAATCTAAAGTGGAGGAAAGATGTAAACGTAAACACGCGCTGGATCAAACGACACTCTTCACTGTGATGATGAAATCTATAAGTTGAATGGCTGAGAGCAGCGAAGGCACAGAGAGGGAGTCATGACAGTCTGTGTCTTTTAGAGCGTTTAAAGTTTAGAAACATTGTTTAGAATATTGCAAGAGTGTGGGAAGAGTTTAAAACACACACACACACATATATATATATATATACATATATGTATATATAGTGCAGTGCAGGCTGCACAGAGGTGCAGCAGGTGCTTTTATTTTAAATAAAAAATGCATGCTGATCATGCGGCTCATCCATCAGTCAGCCAATCGTGTGTCAAGTCCAATCTTATAAAAAAAAAAAACGCGATAGAGCGAGTCTGCAACAAACGAACCGTGAAGTAGCGAGGGACTACTGTATTAGTGTTGGGCGTATATCTTAGATCTTTTAGCATTTTGTTTAGTGTTTATGTTACTGTATATCTTAGATCCTTATATACCATTTCTTTTTATACTTCATCATTTTGGGTGTAACTGGGCCTTGAGTACACAATTTCATTCCACCTCATGTACCACCTGTGATGCGAATGACAAAATGAACTTGAAACGCTCATTAGACTTTGGCATCCTACCTGCTGTAGGATCACTGGCAAGGGTGTTGTCCAAGGCACTGGTTACTGACTGGAACAAGTTCATCTTCTGTGTGGGGCCTAAATGTTGAAAAGAAACAAAGAAAAGTCAATCATCTGGCTCACAGACTGCAAATAAATGTCAGCTGATATACTAAAAAAACCTTTGACCTATTTTGAGGTTGGCTGACATAATGAGGCACCCTGCAGTTGACCTGTTGCATCACAGAGCCCTTTAAAAATGTCTTTATCTACCAAACTATACCGAACAGAGGCTTGCAGGGATTTGAAACAGATGTTTAAAAACAGCTCTGATAGTGTGCAGCGCCCTATGACACTATAATAGACTGCAGTGAACAAGAGAAAGTGAGAAAGAAGAAACAAATGGGGCGCAAAAAGAGAGCAAATTACACAAACCATGGTCTACCTGTGCTCCAGTCAATAATCTGCTGTTACTCTGATGGATCCTTGGAATTGTCAGTTTGTTTATAATAAATGATAAATTGACTGTACTTGTATAGCACCTTTCTATCCTATCAAGACACTCAAAGCGCTTTACAACACAATCTGTGCCTCATTGACCCGTTCATACAGCTCTATACTAGATCTCTACAGAGACTAATCAGAGCTTTATCACATTCACACACTGGGGAGTGGTGGCGCAGAGGCTAGAGAGGTGGGCCCGTGATCCCAAGATCGCCGGCTCACGCCCCGGCCCCGACAACGTCAAAAAAATAATAATTTGTGGGTGGGGTAGGTGAAGCACCCACACCTGCCCCCACCCTCATTCGCCCCACCCTGGGCCCATGAGCAAGGCCCTTAACCCCCATCTGCTCCCTAAACGGGTCTCTCTTGAAAATGAGTTCTCGTGGCTCAGTGAGGCTACCTGGATAAATAAAGGTAAATAAAAAAAAATACACTGATGGGACACACATCAATGAGGGGTTCAGTGTCTTGCTCAGGGACACTTCAACACGTGACTGCTGGTGGATTCGAACCCCCAACTCTTGCATTTGAGGACGACTGCTCTAACCACTCAGCCACAGTTGCCCCGAATAATAAGGAAGAAGAAGTTGTCAATCAGATTCCTGCTGTGTCACTGCAGTCTCCACTTTATATATATATATAT